GAACCAGTGAAATAGAATGATATCATTTATACTGCAGATTCGGTCTTCCTTTCTTTATCTAAATTTATCAACGGAACCAAGTGTGTAAATTTTTTTCTAATAATAAAACTTCGTTGGTATTTGTGTATTGCTTCACAAGTATTACTAACATATACGCAGTCGACTGATAACAGGTCAATATATATTTCAGCAAATTTAGTTTTAAAAGACTTTACCTGAGCTTTGTGGTGTGCATAGTTTACATGACCACAACTGAAATATGGCTAACTACTCTAGGTACTTAAAAAATGAAAGTGAGATATTTTTCGTTTACACCTTTAATGTGTGTGATGCAATTCCTTTATCATGAAAAGTGAATATAGTAGGGAACTGTCAAGAAATTCATGGTCGTACACTCCTTCATATAAAGTTTGAGTTGGTTACTCTTGTTTGTGGTGAAACTGTTATTGCAGGGAAAATGTCGGCGACTCTTCTACACAGAATGCTATGGAATTTTAATATCAATCGACAGAACAAGAAACGGAAGACGCAACAAGCAAAATATGTCTAAAGTCATCTGTCAAATCTCAACTTGCCATACGATTCATGTGAAAGGCTACATAAATTTGAAAAATTGCAGGTGGAAAGCAGAAAACTTGCAGAAGAAGCAGGCAGCGAAAACAGGACTTTATGTGGACAAAGAGAAAATAGTGGTGATGAAAATAAATGGCCAATAAAAACAGTCAACCGTCATTACCAACGGGATGAATTTGAAAGAGGTCACTTCCTTCACTTATTTAGAAGGCACCGTTTCAAATGAAGTCAGTAGGGATGAGGATGTGTAAACCAGAATAAGAAAGGCAGATTTTTATCACTTTGAAATCACTCTGTTAACCTGCTACATGGTGAGGAAGAATCAGCAACGAGGAACTCTGGCAGGCGACGAACCGATGGAGAGCTTAATGCTCAAGAAATATGCAGTAGAATGCGCAGTGAGAATAACTCTGGGTAACATCGTATGCATGGCCATCTAGTCAAAATCTAACGTGAAACGATGAGGTTTGAGGGTGGCGTAGAAGAGATCGTATAAGGAGGAGATCAGAGCCTGTGGGTAATCATAGAACCAGCAATAAAGGACTCCAGAGAACAGGATGAGATAAAGATGTGCTGTTGAATCCCTATTTTTATTCGAAACTTAGTATTAATAAAATAATAATAATCATAAAATGTCATCTTCAATCCCTCTCATTATTGTGATTTGATTTTAAAAGCATACGGTTGTATTTGCCCGCCTAATCAGTGATCAGTCAGTTAGGAAACACTAAACTGTCCATGTCTTATCTTTCTCCTGTTATTCTCTATTCAGAGGGTCCAGAACGACGTTTTTTAACTTGAACCTTCTGCGTATTTCAGATACATATGCAAATCTCAAGCATATGTTATTTATTATTACGGTGTCTCAAGTTTCATGATATCATGTTGTATTATCAAGTATGTTACGAAACTCTCTTTACATATTGCTCTTAACTTTCATGGGTTGTTTGCGACTGACAAGAAGCGTCGTTTTGTTCTACTTCAAGCACTGCTTTAACCTAGTTATAAATCAACAGTATGTCAGCTACCTTAATGGGTAAATATATAATTCATCTGAATAAGTCATCTGGCGCTGAACAGGCCTATAGAAGCATTCAAAGTTTACTGGTAAGTTTACTAAATTAGAATCTCAATAACGCAGATTCTGAAAACAAAAACTTCAGTTATAATAATTTTGCAGTGACGATTGCCTTAATAGTGCTCAAAGACAGTTGTAACAGGGTTGATTATTTAATAACTGCCTTCTAAAACCTTAATGACTAATATATTCTAAAGTTAAAGTGGCATTAGTTTTGGGATTTTCAAAAAACGTGACCAAGCTAAAAAGCTCTTTAAGGTTCGCCTGCTGATGTGATTGTCATAATAAGCTAGCAGTTCACCAGTCTCTAGAGCTAATTAACTTCCGGACTAATAGATTTGCAACCTTACTGTTCTAATCACTAGTAGCAACGAAAAGCACCACGACACTAATTCCGCGGCACGCAATGCTGGAAGGAAAGAAGACGGAGTGTTTAAAAGAGAGCTGTTGTATGTCTTGAACCAACAGCAAAATGGCTTGACAGCGTTTCTGCATACTTAGGTTTTAAGTAACCTAGAGGGACACTTATTTTCTTGACAAGTTAAAATAGATAACAAGCTATAAGGTTCAGCCATCATGAAGAGGGAAATACAAATATTGTGGTGCTGTAACTGAATGTAATAGTTTAAGGCTTCGAAATTGTATAAAAAACTCTTTCTTAGAACTTTTATTTTTAGAATCTTGCATTCATGGAATTTTCAGTCCATTAGCTAAAAGATGATCGAAAATCCAAAAACGGATTGAACCAAATGCGTTTCTCAGTAATTATTATTATACAGTAAGTCTTGAAGTTATCAGCAGCGCGATTCGCTTTTCATGAAAGTATCTCAATATTTAAGTAGACGGTGAGGATAATTTTAATTCGTCTAAGCCTGTGAAAAACGCATCTTGCTACAAGGTTCCTCTTGAAAACCTTTTTCTGTAAGAAATTCTAAAACAATCAACATTTTTAGTGCTAAAATTTGACAATGAGTATTCACTGTCTAGTTTGAGAACACTCATATTTCTTTCCACAGAACTGTAGAGAAACAAAATGTCATTGGAGAGATATTCAGTCTTCCTGTGCTGTTATGGACAAGACTGATCATTTCATGTCACACTCTATAATCGTAACTTCATACAGGGAAACTTGGAAAACTTTATGAGACATTAAATAGTCCTATTTAACATTGTGTTCATCTGTTTTCTCTCATGACTAACAAAAATCTTGACTTTTAAAAGACTGCAAAGGAAACAAAGAATGTACGTGTGACCACATATATATAGGGAGGACTCCTCGGTTTGCTAAGTAAAAGCTAGCTTCAGAGCACATTCCTAAGTGGTTTCAGAATAAAACAAATTCCCCAAAACCCATTAATGGTGAGAACAGACAACCTACCTGTCTACTAAGGAACATATTATAGAGATAGGACATAAAATCGATGTTTACACTTCTCTTTAAACCAATACATAGAACTGTTTGGGGAGTATCATAAAGTTTGTGACAATTAGAAAGTTTAAACCACCTTTCTGCATTCAAAGCAACAATCGTCATCACACTAAACCTTCCTAGGTTAAATTTGTTTTGATACTAGCTGGGTTAGATGTACTATTACCTCTGTTGTTTGATTTAGTGATGTTCATTGTTATTTTGACCTTCAGTGTGTCCTTTTAGCTTTCCCTGAATCTATTTTCTTCCCCCTTAGCTCTTTATTATTTTCATTTGTCAAGTCGATGTGAGCTTCTTGTTTGAAATGTGTTGCTGGAATATATTACACTATTTTGGTTAACTACGTCTTCTTATTGCTTTGTCTAAAATAATTTTCTCCTTGATAACATCTTCATCAAATTTTACATTTACAAATCTACCTTTGATTGTAACGTCAAACTACATATGCGAGCAAGTAAATGCCGAGTTAATAAATATTGGGAGGTCAATAAAACTGGTAGTGAAGTGTGCGATGAATGTAAATTATAAATTTGACAGATGGGTGGATGGGTGGACATTGAATACAGCATGTTTGTAAATTTCTTTCCAAGCAAACTAGAAAACTGTCTTTTAAACATTCTTATCATAAAGTTTTTATTTTATTGCCGATATGTTGATGGTGAGTTTACCCTTTGTTAAAACGATCTGGACAGTTGCGCAATAATATCTCAATTCAGTGAGGCAGATTTTACTATCGAATTTATGTGTGAAGAGGAATTCCTAAGTAAAATTGTCTTCTTACACGTCCATATGGGAGTATTAAAAAGAATATGAACAATCAAAGTACGTGGACAGGACAATATATACATTTTCACAGCTTTGTTCCACTTCAGGATAAAGGAAATAGGCCAATGCCCCCCAGATAAACAGTCAGAGCTATTTGCTTAAAAGATGCAATTGAAGATTAACTTACTGTTGTATTTGACAAATTAATTGAAAATAGCCACATTGAAAGGTTTATCATGGAGAACATGGTCGAAACAGTGAAAAAGCGTTCTCTTTATCTGCTAACAAGAAGTGCCTATATAGTCGATTGCTACTGAAAAGTGATGTACCAAGTGTAGAAACCTGAAACGTAGGAATTTCACTGCTCCTAAGCAGTAGCTCCTATTTTCTACACGGTCGGCTGCGAATTCTCAGATGAAAGATAAAATACGTAGATCAACCACATCCTACTGTATCCATCAGTTTAACTGTTACCGTGGAGTCAGTTATGTTGACTGTCGCTCTAGGAACCTAGTCTTTCTCGCCCGGGAACACCTACTAGTGTGGCTATATGAAGGTGTAGTAAAAATCATTAACAGTTCGATATTAAACCATCTGGCCAAAACAGGTCGTTAAGCTGGCAGTGAAGAATCGTTACCCGCCATCTGTCACATACCAAATTAACTACCAAAAGCCTCTAGATACCGAATACTCCAAATACCAGAGGCCATTGCAATTCACTTAAAAAACACTGGAGCTCTGTGTGTAAATGGAACAGTTCCAGCTGGTATTCCCCATCCAACCTGGTATAAAACCTCTATTATAATTGTTTCATTTATCTGACCTTCAGCTTGGTGTCATATTAATGCTTATTATCACTTACAGATAGATGCCTTTGAACTGCAGTACCTAGTGAAGAAGTTATCGAAGTGAATCCTCTATTTTGATTGCATGGAGGATTTCATTATAAGCTGTTATCAGTTAAAGAACCACTGGAAAACCCGAGAGTACTGGACAGCTATTTCATCCTAATTTGGGACTCTTCAGAAGTACGCACTCACCGGGGTTCGAATCCGGTGGGTTCCAATACTTGAAAATACTCCATTTTCACTAATCAGTCTTTTAAAACTGTTAACGCCATCTTTAATCAATTAGAGATTTTAAATTTTCTCTTACCTTCCTCTTTCTTCTTCTGTTTCAGAACCAACATTTGGATGGTGAGCATTTTGTTTAACTGCGCCAAAAAATCTTGCCAATATACTCGCTGATTTCTGTTTACAATAAGCAAATAAACCAACGGATTAATTGATGCAGAATATAATTTTTTTGAAATCAACTTTTCGAGGTTTGATTAAAAGTATGTACCTTCATTTTCTTTTTAAAAATGCAAGTAGTAAAGGAGTTTTCCATATGAGTGGACTAAAACCACCTCAATATTAAACAGACTGGACATCCAGGGCATTGATTTAGAAAGGATTTTAGTTAAATTTCATTTAAATTCCCACCAGTCCTCTATCTCAGTACAACGTTAAGCTAAATTTCATAAACAGCATATCTTATCGGCTTAGGTTGATATTAACACACTACTGAACTAATCATGTTATGTCTCGAAGAATAGAATGACTCCTATGTTTACCTCTAAGCATTTTAACAAATTCAACTACTTTTGCATAGTCAGCTTGATAGATTGAATTGTGATTACAATAGCATAATGAATGAGAGATCATATCTCAGCTAGAACAGCAAAAGAGAAGTTTAGTAAAGCACTGTCCCCATTAACGATGGATACTGTAGAGAAGAAACCTTCGTATCTTAAGTCAGGATACAAGGGGGAAACTGCAGCCGACACTCTAAAATGTCTACTTATCAGAGGAGTAGGGAAAACATTTCCTGTAGCTAAACTGGTACTCAGCTCTCAACTAAACCAGTAGTCACACACCAAGTCAATGATAAATTACCAAAGATGGCCTCATCAATGTGTATCTATGAATTCAACTGCTCATGTGGAGCTAGATACATTGGCCGTACTCAGAGTGCTTTATCCATGCACGTACGGGAACATGTACTTGTATGGTTGTGTAAAGAAGTAACCAAATGCGTAAATAGTGCAGTCTTAGCTCACTTGGTGTATACTGGACACTCGATAAAACTTGACCAGGCGTTCTCAGTTATTTACTGCGTTCGTGTAATCAATCTAAAGGAGCTCAACGACGTCTTTTATCAGTGGCTAAAGCGGTAGCAATCGACACCAGAAGACTGGTTCTTCGTATTAGGAAGAAGTATGTTCAACCGCTCTGTTCACCTTGGCCCACAATAAAGCCAAAAACTCTCTACAGACATTAGCACTCTAAAGTCCTATCACAATTTTTCTTTTCTTCTTACATTCCTAAGTTTCATTTACAAACGTTCATTTCTGACTTTTTATGACTTGATGGCCATTCTTATGATTTCTATTACCTTACGTTTAAGTAATGCCTTTCTAACGTGTTATCTCATTTACAAAATCTTGTTTGTTTCACTTCACTAAACTCATTATTATTTGATAATCATTCACCATTGGTAATTTCCAGTTCGCAGCACTTCATCGTCATTATTTATCCATCATTACTATTGTTATTTTTCACCCCTGAACTTACTCCTAGTCTGTCCCATTTGTTGGGTTATTTTTCCGTAGTATTCATATTGTCTCACACACCATTGCTTACATTCACCCTCGAAACCTGTACTTGTTGTACTTGTTGACTATATAAATATATTGTCCATCCAATCTTATACTTGTTTCTTATGCAATTCTAATTTGCCTTTATTTGCTACTGTATGCTTAAATTATTGGATTTATTGTTTTGGAACCTGAAGAAGAATTTGTTGAAAACAATTAGCCCTTCTAACTATTTTCATTCTGAATAAATCTCACTCAGTAAGTGAAGGTAACAGAGAATTCCCCGAATCCTCCTTGCAAATAACTCAAAATCCACTAAAACGTTAGCACAAACTATAAGATTTCGTCTTTTTCAAAATGTTGAGTTCTGAAAAATTCTGATTATTCAATCAGGTGATTATAATGACATTCATAACGACTTTCATCTATAGTGCTGTATTAAAATTTACTCTCAGTATATCCTAAAATTATAGAGGCTGGTGGCTATGAATATTTTTCGGAAACATTGTCCACTGAAACAGTCTGTAGAGAAACTACTCTTCCAAATATCTTAGAGAATAAATGAGTGGCATATGTTGAAACATGGCTTCTAGATAATTAACTGTATACATGAATTGGCGATATCACAAACGCGTGATATTTATTCTTTGACCTTCCCATTAGAACATGCGTTTTCAAGTTTGAGCTTTGAAGTTTCGATAGCATTGGCGTTCTGTTCATTTTACGAGGTGGTGTTGCTAACTTTGCGACCAACCTTCCCTCTTCACATGTTTCACTACCGCCTAACTAAGGTTGAAGAGTGTGCCAGTGGAGGATTGAACTCCAGAAGAAATGGATAGTTGGTGAGTAGTCTACAGTACTCCTCAGAGGACCATCAACGCACTACAAACACATATAGCACAATTTTTTAAAGAATCTTCAGCTTTATAAAGTGTATCCTAACTTACAAGAAGGAAGGATAATCTGGTGCTATAGCCTTTTCAGCCGTCAAATCTTTCGAGAAAATTGGAACATTATAGCACATAGAGACAAGCTAGAATTTATCTAATTAATATTTAGCTAGTGTAATTTAATATCTTATCTTAATCCTGGTTGTGTTCTGGTGCAAGGATGATGCACTGCAGAGTGCGCATCCCTTTCAAAGTTGGCGGCAGACTGGAGATATTCATCCCTGAGAAACAATTCTAAAGAGGACAGGACACACCTTCCCACACTGGTGATGGTTTAGGTGGCGTATGGGTCTCCAAAGATAGTGCAACTATGCAAATCATCTATGAAGTAAAACTTTGTGTTTAGAAGCGCTCTGTGTCACAGAGATGGAAGTGTGCAAAGGGAGAAGCCATGTACAAAGAAAATAATTGAACCATTCGGATGTCACCATTGAAAAGCAAACTGTACGCAGTGTCAAATCAGTTTCCACCTTGACATAAGTAATTAGTTAGTAAAATAAGATCTTCCTGAAATCCATATAGTGATAAGAGTACTATTAGTGCGAAAAGCTAAACTTACCGAAGTCCCTCCTTTTCCTTGAAATGCACGTGTAGCTCTCCAATTTTCAATGATAAGATAACTTGCATAAATTTTTCCGACTGTCATTTTGTGGTAAAGTAACTCTGTAAAATCAGAAAAAACAGGGAATTATAAGCATAATCTGTTGGCAGTTGACTTAATGTATATTCTGATGATTTTTCAGCTAATTAACTATAAGGGAATTCGCGTAAAACCGAGGAAAGTGTTTTAAATATCATCATCTGAGGTCAGACAGCAAGATGAATGTTTTGCTGGTCAAAATTTACAAGTTCGATCAAGAGCTGATATCAGTTCAATAAACATTGGATTGTTGTTTCTTCCTGGTCTAAGAATATTCAGGATTACGCGCCCACCAAAATTCGGAAACAAAACTTCCCACTTATAAGGCAAGCTCATAAACCAACACTTCATAACTAGTGGAAACTGTTGACATCATTTCTGTAGACAAATGGTGGATTGATTGCTAAAAGAAAGCATATCCTACGAAGATTGGGTTCTCCACTGATTTTCTAAAATTATATCAAAACGGGCAAGATTGAATTCATGGAATAATAAAACATTAAACTCAGTAACTTCTGTCACTGTTCTATCCGTTCAGCGGATGGTCATAACGTATGATTTTATAGATAACACTGGGAATGTGGGTAGATTTATGAAAAAGAAGTTATTTATTGGACTCATTTCATTGTTCAGTAAATTGATGCTAAACAAAAAGACTTGATCTCTGTTCTTTCGACACAACTTTTTAAAGACTGGTGGATAACACATCTTAACATTTATCACATGTATGCTTCTGATAGTGTTTGTTAGGAAGATATTTGCAGGTTTACTCACAAGGTGAAATGAAACGTCACTTGTTTATTCCCTACCGTCGTTGTTCAACAAGCAATATCAAATGCATTTTCAAAAAGTAGCTCAGTAGGTAGGGGAATAGATGTCTGATATAATGAAGGAGATTTGAAGTTCAGATGGATGATAGTGAATTAATTATGTTCTCTGAGCTGGTTGATTTAACTGATTTAATTAACAAACAAGTTAATATAGACCAAATTTACCAACTAATAAAAAGTAAATCACATGGCGAGAAAGTTCGAATTACAAGTCAAAAAAGTGACCAGCAGAGTCGTGAATTAACAACCAGACACAACAGTGGTTGCCAGAATATACAATTATATCATTCATGGGGAATTAAATCCATTTTACACTAAAACCTGTGCTGAAGATGTTGTCCAGAAGGATTACGAAAGTGTCGCAATTAAATCAGCTAGCTCAGAGAACATAACTAATTTGAAATAGATGTTTGTTAATGAATTATATGATCCAGTCTAATAAAAGTAGACAAATTTAGCAAGAATATGTGATCAGTGTCTTGTTTTAGTTGCATGCTATAACATGTTTTTTACGAAAATCTATAGCCCGCCGTGTACATAAATATGATTTTTTTAATTTTTTCGAATTCGTTATTTAGTACTTGTGCTTTCAGTTACTTTTCTGAGACAATAACCTTGAACTGACTATTTCGCTTTCTGAGATTCGGCAATAATTAATACCTGTGGTCAAACACAAACTCACGATCAACTTCAAGACATTTTTTCTTGAATGTCACGATGGTCTTAAGGAGGTTGGACCATTCTTTCTGCTTATATGTAATAATATATACATATACATGTATATAACAGGTCCCCTAATTAGTCATTCAATTTTTGAAAGGAAGATGAGAGTGGATACTGCACTATGAATAGTTGGAAATCACTCATATCAGCCAGAAGTGCTTGACGGTCAAATCGAAATGAGCTGCATACCAGATGGGTGTCTGTCTCGTTTGGGGGCAATGTCATCATCACTGTGACAAGTGCGACTTAACTCAGGCAGCTGAATTAATTGAAACCATCTGAATTGTGGCTGACCTCTTGTGATAACCGGCAACGATATCATTGGTAGAATTTGCAATTAGCAGATTGCTCAGTTCGTGGTGGAAATGCATTAAAACTTCCCTAGAGGTGGTCAAGATAGTAAGCTTAAATGACTGTTGACATAGCTATTTGCCAATATTGCAATGAACATTTATACAAATTCTAACTATGCATTCTAGTAATAAGCTGATGAACCCAGGAAAGAACCTACATAAACCGGATTAGCTGATGCGATGATTTGGAATAACCTTTTGCTTAACTGAATTTCCTCCGTGAATTATTTTATTTTTCGGAGATAGCTTTGGGCATCATGAAAAACGGGACCGAAATTCGATAACTGTTTGGAAAATCCTTTCAGGACGATCCAGGATGATACCTATTTGGATATTTCAACTGACTTTGTAATTTTAATTGAATTTGAGATGGGCACTGGGTTCGAGCCTCAGTGGGAACATCATCACTCACTGAGAAATGCAGGTACATCCAGATGACAAGTCCCAAATAGGATGAAATGTGCATCCTGGATTCCACTGCTAGTCACCATCCACCAATTAAATGACTTTGTAATTATTTTCCTCTTTCATTCTAGGCTGTATATCATCGTTTTGAAGTTCAAACCAGTTGAATTAACCCTAATTATTTGTCTCTGTACTTGTTTAATCCTTAACTTAAATGCTTCTCTTTACGGTTGTGGAATGGAGTGGATAATACGAGGTTGGCAATGAGGACCCTTATGTTAGACTGTCTGCAGGAAGCTTTTGCTGTTTTTGATACTGCTGACGGAATTTTCATCCCAACTGTTTGGAGAGTATTCTCCTTGGTTCTCAATACTTCTTTCTTATTACAGAAACTCATGATCTGTATATCTGCCTAACGGAATTGTTGCGTAGCACAGATTTTATGGCAAATAGCTGTAATTCTGCTATCGCTGGGATATTTTGGGACTATTAGTTAATCAAGAAAGTTTGTTTGGGTATAACATAGAACGCAACGATTGATTTCATGTATTCGTAACACAACAAGTCGGTTTTGATTCCTGTTACAGTCGTCAGTTGTTTCTTTAAATGTGTGTGAATGCTACAGAAATCAAATTAAATAGTCCGGTAAAAGCTGCTTACAGTAGGTAGAATATTTCATTCTCAAATCGTTTTATTACAGAAAAGTACATATTGGTGGTAAAAGGTAAATGGGAAAGAATTACATCTCTGGGAAACAAACAACTATCTGATACCTACTCAACAAGTAGCCACGCATTTATCATCACACAACTTATTAAAACCTAAGCTAGATCCTTACACCTGAGTTCACCTTACAATAGTCTCGAGTAAAATTCAATAAACACTATACAAATGTCGATAGTAAACTATTTTCATTTGTAATAATTACAAATAGTTCACATACCTGAATCTGGCGGTACAAGGAGATGAAGCATTTTCTTTCCATGAACTGGCCATAATTTACAAATAGTCTCTCTTAATTCCATATCTCGCTGATCCATTATTTCAGTTGGTCCAGTTTTAATACCCAGTGATTCACGTATTAAAGCCAATAGTGTGGTTGTAAAATGAACACATCCATTCTCATCGACTGGCATATTCATTCGAATCAATTTCTACAGAAAACAAATTGTAAGACAATAAATGAATGAAAATGAGACTTATAGATGACATGGTGATGTTTGTAAGGATAGTTAACAAATACGGCCATTGAAGTGTACTCAGATTTATTAAAGCCAGAACTTTAAAACTTTATGTACCATATTAATCAAGGGGAGGCGGCAGAGGGAGGAATTATAAAATTCCTGACTGCTAACATTAATTAAAAAGACTTAACTTAAAGGTCAATACCCACTTAGAAGTTTAAACTTTCATTAGTCGTGGTAAATGTCATTCACGCGATAGTCAGCTGACTACTGTTCGACTATTACCAATTATTAAAGGGATTTCACTGACGTTTATAGTGATCTTCAGTGATCTTCTGGAATCACATACATAATTTGTCTATATTTACTGCTGGTCTCATTGAATACATGTTGCATGGGCTCATATATACGGTGATCACTACTCCAAAGCTATTTTCAACAGGCGATACAGCCGGACATGGTATCGCCTGCAACTCTGGTAATGTTGTTTCAAGTCTATAAATATATATTCAGTATTAATTAATTTTGTCTAATACTCCTGCAAACGAATACAAGTAACTAAACGAACAATTCACTTCAGACATCAAGTTGGCATAGTATATAAAGGCTAGGAAGAACAGTGAGTCAGATTAAGTTATGCTAAAAAATACATTCCGTTTGAATTGCAAAGTATATTCTAGAATGCTTTGATGAGTAAGAAAAGAAAGGTTTGTGATGATCTATTCTACCACACACTTGGTCGGCTTCAGTCACTCAACCAACCCTGACCGTTATTTTTAGATTATTTATCAAATCCATGCTAAATTGTAGCGCTTTGTTTGTTCCAAGCTCTTAAGGACATCGAAGGCCTTGGTTATTCAGTGAATCAAATCAAATCTTTGTGAAGAAAAGTATTTCGTTAAGTTCCCATTTGTTTCAAGTTTGATCACGGACTGATGTCAGTTAAAAACAGGCAGTAGTGGACAATGGTTTCATCTTTGTCTGGGAGTTCTAGTCATAAGTCATGACCAGTGTAGTCTATCACGTAGAGTGTGAAGCCAAATGCTCATTGATGACATTAGCTGGTAGTTGCTCAAAACCTGCCGACTGGTAGAAGTAACAATTTATGAGTCACTGAGTTGGGTTCAGGTAGCTGGATAGTCTACAACCTTGTAACTGGAAGGTCCCGGGGTCGAAATACAGTGAAGGCATGGTTGCCTACTGCTGAATAGTCCCGTGCTAGAAAGAAACAGCTTCCCAGTATTCCCTGTTTTCACCGGTTCTCTAACTGATATGAATACATGATCAAACAAGAAACAAATCCAACCCCTAGAAACCAAGTCTTAAAATGCCTACTCCCACGTGAGATGTAGAAGAGAAAAGAGGCATACACGTTTACTTATTTTTGTTATGTTATTTCCCTTATTACTACCTTTGTTATTATTTTCTCTTTCGGTTTGAACAATTACCGATGTTATCTCACATTTCCTATTTATTATTTTGAATCGATAAATGTTACGCAGTGTTAAGATTTATCCTACCAAACATTTTACCATTTGTTGGGTAATGTTTGTATTTGCTAACTGTTTCTATTAATTTTACATCCCTTAGATTCTATGAGCCGTTTTAAATATGACAGTTAGTTTTGTAGCTGATGCCGACTGTCAGATATATATATATATAACTATGTATATAGTAAATGCATTGAAAAAAGCCTCGTCAATGAATGCAAGGTAAAGCCTGATAAGATTACATTAAAAACAATATCACTGTCCAGGGTAGCATGAATTAAAAGTCAATCTGAAAAAAATATTCTTTTCAGAACGTCCTCTTTAGGTTCCTACAATTATAAAATATAATAATTATCGTCATGGTAATAGCTAGTTACATTTTTAAGTAGAATAATAGATTGATTATAGGGTAACAGTAGACTGGATAATGCGACAGACAACGGCCAATGAGGTAACAGGCATAAAATGGACTCAAACAAAACACTTGGAGGACTTGGACTTCGATGATGACATATGTCTGATTTCCCACAAACTGGAAGATATTCAAGTGAAAAGCGACAAGTTGGCACAAGAAGCATCAAAGATAAGACTTCCCCCAGGTGAACATTGATAAAACAGAGGTGATGAAGATTCCTGGCCAGCACCAGCAGCAACAAAAACAGACAACAACAACAGACAACCTACCTGGGAAGCATCGTTTCAACTACAGGCCGACGGAACTGACGAGGATATCAAAGCCAGAATCGGAAAAGCAAGACAAGCTTTCATTACTCTCAAGTCTGTGTGGAGGTCAACAGCACTCAGAACCAAAAATAACATCCGGATTTTCAACTCCAATGTGAAGTTACTGCTACTATATGGATCAAAGACTTGGCCAGGGCGTCATAAAGAGCATCTCAAACAAACTACAGACCTTCATTAACGGTTGTCTTAGCTGAATACCACTCAAGATCAGATGGCCAGAAAAGATCAGCAACAGGGATCTCTGGCAATGAGCGAACCAACCAGGAGCCGATTGCGAAACAAATAGGCAGGAAGTAGTGGAGATGAAATGGCTGGCCATACTCTGAGGAAACCATCAAGTGACATCACTAGACAAGCCACTGCTCGAGTGGAACCCATAAGGGAAGCGGCCAGTTGGTCGTCACTGCGAGGGTGACTTGGAGGAGGTCATGTGAAGAGGAGATGAAAGCATGTGAGCAGACGTGGAGCGGGGTGAAAAAGTTGGCAGTAAACAGAAGGCACTGGAGATGCGCAGCTAAAGCCCTATGTTCCTCTAGGAATTAAAGGATATAAAATAATCACAGTTTAAATGGACATGGCACATACATTCACTTTTATTGATTAATGGTTGTCGTGAAAACCTCATTGTATGTCAGATTAAGAAGAGACTATCCCTTGTCTTCAATCAGTTATCAGCCGTACACTCTATGCCGTATCTCTTTTCCTCACATCTCGAACGTTCTCGATTCGTGTACATATAATTAAACAACAAAGTGCTATGGACTCTAATACACCCTGTATCTACTAGCGTTCAAAATACATGATATCCACTCCTTCATATCGCTGCATACAGACAACCACGGACACTAATTTGACTGGGACAAAGTTCATATATTAGACAGCTGAAACACAAAGAATACTGGAAGCCAGGTATTCCAATGAATCGAAAATCAGTGGACACATTGGCACAGACATTTACCAATCGATAAGAAGGAAATATCATGCACAAAAGGTCAAACTTCAGATCACAGAAACAATCAGTACCACTAAAAGTAGCTTAGAGGATGTGAAAACACATAAAAGCAACTAATCACGTTCAAGGTCACCAGGAGTGACGACTAATAAACTCGTGGAGAAATCTAAAAGCTCACTTCAACGAACTGAAGTATGCGCTGAAGGTGTTGCCTAGTTGGGCAATGAAAGCTTCGTAAATAAACCATCTAGCTCAGACAACGCAACTACGTCAAAATGTTCCACTGTCGTCAGAAATAACATGCTCATATATGGTTATTAAGTCACATAGAAAACTTGAAGATACTTAATCTTAACAGAAAACTATCATCATTCATCGCAAAACATTTATTTAGGTTTGGTCACCAAATCATTATGAATTACTGCTTCTTATTTATTTCACATAATTCTAATTCAAGGTTACTAAAGCTGATAGAAGCACTTTGGGTTCATCAGATGCATCCCACATTGTGTATAAAAGATAATAGACCTCAATCTTAGCCTATTATCGACTACTTAACCTGTTAGAACATGACTGTTTATTCATGCGTACTTTTCTCCATATAATCAATCATTCTCGAACCTTCGAATATTCCCACTGTCATATACTTTATTTTATTACTGTGACCCGTGCCAGTTGTAGAGGGATGCAAAGAAATTACAAAATGGTATCATTTCATAACACTTGACTTGCAAATGCTTTATCTAAGTTTGAATCAATTAGTTCCCTTTATGAGTTTAGACAAAGCAATAAGAAGACGTAGTTCATTCGAATCGTATTATGTATTTGCACACCGCATTTTGAACAATCTGATCACACTCCGACTTGTCATGAGAATATACATGAAATTAATGAAGAGTTAAGAGGTTTGAAAATAAATTAAGGTCAAGTTAAAAGGGCATACTGAAGGTCAAAATAACAATGAAGATCACTAAACCAAATAACCAAGGTAAAAGTATATCTATCCTGGTGTCAAAACAAAGTCCAGTACGATGACATTTTGTTTCTGAACGCATAAGGAAGGATTTAAAAGACGTGTAAACACCAATTCTATGTCCTATCTGTATAATATGTCTCGAAAAAAGAGTGCTAGGTTATCTTTTCTCATCATTTATGGGTTTTGGGGACTTTGTTTTCTTCATAAGCCATTTAGGAAAATGCTCTGAAGCCAGCCTTTACTTGTTAAGGCCGAAGAGTCCTCCCTATCTATATATGTGTGTTCACACATGCATTCAAATTGGTGAATACAGTGGGATGCGACATAATTTTTAGCATGTTCTAAGGACTTACATGGCTATATGGGCTTCACATTATCAATTGTTCTGGTCTTAGCTACATAAAAGTCTCTTTAATCACAGCGTTTAATCTTTGTCTAGTTACCATGCTGCTATAATCACCCATATAGGCTAGTTTGATATATATATGTCTTTCTTAGTGGCGAGTTGGAGAGTAAGCCTTGGTGTTCTGCCTAGTTTATATCTCCTAATGAACTTGTTTGGGTAATTATTTTCAAGTTCTTCCTCATCAAGTGTGTCTTCAGTGCATATTTGTTGGATTCTCCTGAAGACGCACCTTACTAAGGTTCTTTTATACCAACCAGGGCAGAAACTGTGATAATTAAGATACTGTCCTGTCCGGGTAGGTTTTCTCTAAATAGATCGTTTTATTGATCCATCAGGCTGCCGACTAAGCAATATATCTCGGATGGATAAACATTTATCATTCACTTCTATAGAAGTAATTGA